GCACATGCACAGTCATATATGCCATGAGTAGCTGTTACTGTTGGTAGGAATTATGTGTTAAAAAATTCGGTGAAATGATTGGTATCTTGTGTGCTGAGCACCTCGGTGTAGATATGTTGGATTTACTCCTGGTTAACATGCACCCTGCTTTAGGGGGATGATAAACTGGTATTTGCTGTTTGAAGGGCATACTTGAAAGCAAGGAACTGAGTTTGAACTTCTGGTTTTATTGTTAGCAGTGTTGGTTGCAGGGCCAGTTAAGCAAACATGTGGGCTCCTGCATGCTCCTTAGCAATACTTAAAGGGAAAGTTGTATTGACACATTCTCTATTACTTAAGTTTGAATTAGGGTGATCATAAAAGTCAGAAGTGGCCTCAAACAAGAATATTGAAGCATGCAATAACTTTGCTCCATGGAATTTTATATGAAAGTGCCTGTTGTTTCACCATCGACTGCTGGATGTTACATGCCTTAGTGTTATCTATTCCATACTGGAAACTGTGCCCAGCATAGCTGCCTAAGAATAATGAAATACCAGTTTCCCTTTAAAAAAACAGGGGTTTTTCTACTGCAGTGCAACACACACATATGAATATAAATACAAATACATAAATACATATTATTAAAATATATGATGCTTTGAGGGATGAAGAACTTGGAAAACAGCTCCAAGTTTTTAAACACAGCATTGTAAATATTCTGCCTCTTTTAGTCTCTTTTATGCTGCAGAGTTGTGTTTGTCAACATACAGTTTTTGCCCTCAAAAGATTTGCCACACCAATTGCTTCTTACAGAAGGAATCAGACACAGAGCATTTGCTATTTGTAAATGTCTTTAATTGCAGCTGATATCACACTTCAAATCCTACATGCTTTTTGAGCATCAAACAAAAGGCTAAGAAGATGATTTTGATAAGTTTTTCAGAAAGCAACTAGAATATTTGGTTTTCAAATAGGGTTGTAGACTGGTCCATAAGCATTATGATGACCATAATTTTGGGTGCATTTGCCCAGCAGCCATCTCTAGGTTAGGAGTTGAAACCCATTTTGTGCCTAGCTGGGTTGTGTTATGGTATATCTGAGGTCAAGGCCTGGTTTAACAATGAGGAAATCTTTCTAGCTTGGGGGAGGTTACATATGCACTTGGCATATTTGAACTAAAGCATCTTTATCTGCTGGCTTTTTTCTTTTCAAAGGAGGAAGCTCTCAGCCCTTTCAACTCAGACCAGGGTAGAAGGAGCTGTTGGCATTTTGGTGCCATCTTTGAGCTGGATCTCAAGGATAAATTCCTGCCCTCTGCTTGGCTTGCACCATTATTAATACTGTAACTGGGACACTCTCTGGAGTAGCTCTGACTCAGTAGTTCTCCATTAATTAATTAGTAATCCTCTCTCTGAGAATACTGCCAGGTTACAACAGATACTGATAAGTCCTAAGTATTTATTGCATTCAATAAATAGAGGCTTCAAAGGATGTACCTGGTAGTGAGGTGTGGGCTCTTTAATTATTTCCAGTGTTAAAGCTGTGAAAGGAAGCTGTAAGGGTTTTCTTATATTTTTTTCCTTCCCTTGGACAATAATCAGTTTTAAAATATTTATCTTTATTTAATCTTTAACTTTTGTAAAAAAGTTTTATTGTGTGTTCTAGGTTTATGCTTTGGCTGGCAGCAAAGCAGAGCTACCTCTTAACTCTCTTAAGATCTGAAATAGTAGAAAAAAGAAAAAGTAACTCAGGTAAGTGCTCTATTGGAGTTGAAGTTGGGGTATATTGGCACAAGAAAATTAAACTATGTATTTATTCATTAGCAATGATTTCAAGCTGCAAATTTTATATATACTTATAAAATACACTATTCTAAATGTTTGTTGAAGAATTAGTCAGTATGAGAAGAAGGATCTAGATATTTTTGTTTTCCGTCGTCTCAAAATTAGGATTAAAGATTCAAGAATAATAAAATTTTCAGGGGAAGATCCCCAAAGATACAGACAGTCTTAGAAAACACAGCCTTTCTAGTAAAAAAAAGCAAAGAATGTACAAAGTCAGGTTTGGCAGTGAAAAGTGTTTGCCAACAGTCAGAAATATTCTCCTGATAATCTACAGCTACTGAGGATATCTATGCTTACAAGAAAATAAGATAAGAAACATAATAAAGTAAAAATAAGACTTTTAATAATTGCTAATTGGGACAAAAGTGAAATTTTATAATAGGTCATTTTTCGTCCTCCTCCTCTTTACTTTTCTGGCCCTTAATGGCTTCTTTTGCTGTCTTTCCCCACTTTTCCTACTTTCATTCCTCTGCAGTTTCTACCATCTCTTCTCATTCTTTTTCCCCAGTCTTCAGCTGAAACTTCCCTTTCCTCACTCTTCCACGATGTCTTGGAACTGCTCTTCTTCACCCCAGCCATTAATTGCCTTTTGCCCATGGCCAGTTTTTTTAACTCCAGGGCAATATTTCCAGTATTAAAGTGGTGAAGCTGTATGGAATTTTTCATATGCTCTCTTTCCAGTTCCTGTTGTATCCCAGAGGCCTTTCCAGGACTTCTCTTGCTCAGCACATCCTCTTGTTGTCCCAGGTTCCCTGACCATGCATGTCCTGGCTGGTCATTTCTTCCTCATATTTTAAATTTTTTTCCTCTTTCCTTCTCCACCTCCTCATCCACAAATGTAAACTCTTATTTTTATATCAATCAGAAATATTGTGGTAAAATTTTCCTAAACTCAGCTTTGAACAATGTAACTTCTCTTTTGCATAGTTCTACTCCCTGTCTTTTCTGAATAAGATCCATTTTCCTATGAAAATTTTAATTATTGGGAGTAAATTCTTATCACATCCTACAAAGAAAAAATAACAACAAAAAAACCCAATCTTTTTTAGCATCTCTCGAATTAAGATCTCTTTTTTTCATGATGCTTGTAAAATGGAAGTTAGGACACTGGTGTACAGAGACTTTCTGATTGACATTTCCATTTTCTCTGGGTGCTTTTATCCTTATTTCTATGCAAATGATAAATGATGCCTAGAAGAAGGTAAAAAAAAATCTTTAGTTCAGTAGACAGTGGGATCCTGTTTAACGTATCTTCGGCATTGCCTTATCATGATTTTTCTTAGTGAATCATAAAATCATAGAATGGTTTGGATTGGAAGAGGCCTTAAAGATCATCTTTTCCCAACTCCCCTGCCACGGGCAGGGACATCTTCCATCTGACCAGGCTGCTCCAAGCCCCACCAGTATGGCCTTGAACACTTCCAGGGATGGGACAGCCACAACTTCCCCGAGTAACCTGTTCCAGTGCCTCACCATCCTCACAGGGAGGAACTTCTTCCTTATAGCTAATCTAAATTTAACTTGACCAAATTCCTAGTGAAGGAAAGTAAAATTTTACCAGTTCACAAAAGGAAAACGGCACCTAAAACAACTGCAAAATAAGATTTCCCATCTTTGCAAGCAGCAGTACCAGCATCTAATGGGTACTGTGTCAGCCCCAAACTCTTACAATATTAGTGGAAAAGTGTTTCCATTATAAGATAAAATTCCCAAAGGCTTAGATAGAAGTTTCATTAAATTTACTGACTTTGGAAGAGTGGGAGGATAGCTAGGAGAGTGTTTCATGGGAGAGAATGTCATGTCCTCCTTTCCAAGCTTCAAGTCCCAGCATGTCCTGAAATTCAGAATTCAGTTCTGCTCTGACAACACGCAGTGACCTTGTGGAGAAACAGCAGTTTGTCAAAAGGAGCTGTTGGTTCATCATGTTTAACATCAGCCTTCAGGATTCCAGGAAAATGGGTGCACAGTGAAATATCAGTTATAGCCTTTATGAGTAACATCTTTAATGTGAAAACCATTGCTTTTTAAATCTACCATGATTCATACTAATAAATGAATATACCTTAAGCCATAAGCATTTAGCATACAGGATGGCAGGGAACAGCTCAAAACCTACAGTAACTGAGCTGAAAGAACTAATTCAGAGTGTTAAAAATCACAGCAATAAATGTTTAGTACGTGATGGATGTGCATCAAGGCAATGAAACATTGGAAGCAGAGAATGACATTTTTCTGATGTATCTTATATAAGAAATTGCTCACAAGAAACAGTAATGTAAAGAAAATGCATTTTTCCCCCTCATATCTGTATTACTGCAAATTGCTCTGCTGTGAAGGAAAATCAATTGTTATTATGGCTATTGAGTGCTTTTTAATAACATGTGCTTTTATACATGGCTTTTTGGTAAGCATTACTCTAAATTCAAACATCTTTGTAAATCTCTTATGTGAACTATCTTATAGCTTAGATATGATTCAAGTTATGCTTGTAAAATCTCCACTTAAAATGAATCTCCATGTGACAGGTAATTGGCTTCAGGCCTGTTTTTTTGTTATTGATTTAACTTAATGCCAATGTACACAGGTGTGTTGGCGGGTTGTTCAAGCTTCCAAGGCACCCACATTTGGCAGGACAATAAATTGTTGCATAATAAGATTATTTTCCCCCTTCAATCTTGAATCTTTTCAAGAGTTGTATTTTAAACCTTTGTAGGTATGTACGTGGGTGAGAGAAAAATACCCAACTGTGTTACCATGAGGCATGTTTCAATTTATTGTTTGAGGCACTCAAGGAAACAGCATCATGTAGATAAGATATCTGCAAATATATATATATATATATATCTATAAATGCTGAAGGGAAAAAACCCAAACCCTTTATATAAATTAGCTTGTTTCCTAATTTGTTTTTATTTTATGATATAAAAAATTCTACATTGTTGTCAGATAAAATGGGTTATTTTAGAAAGAAATACAGCACTGAAAATATTAGCTGTTCAATGTGCTTTAAATGCAGACAGCAGATGTGATTTGCCCTTGCACACAGAAATATCTGCATCACAGACATCCAACTGAGGCCTCATTTGAATACTTTGAGCAAAATCCTGGCTCTGTTTAAGTTGATGGGAATTTTGCCATTAATTTCAGTTGGGCTTCAGCTTCCTTCTCCAGTGATGAAATGTGTGGCAAGGGAGGTATCCTTGAGGAACACACAGGCTCATACTGAGAAAATGAAGAATGCCAGAGCAGGTCACAGGTGATGCAAATTCTCGGGAGAGCAGTGACCTTGGAGGAGAAGAAGGGGAAGCACTGCTGAGAGGGCTTTTTGCAGAGAGGTGGGAGGAGATTTCATGAAAGGATGTGGAAGAGTGTTGCAAGTATAGCAGGTAGCATGATTGAACGTGTAAAATCGTGAGGAGGAGAAAACACTTCTACTTTCACAAGCCTGAAGAAAAGAACGAAGAATTAAGTGTTGTTTCCAAACTTTAGAAGAGTATGAATTGGGGGAAAAGCTTTGTGATGGCTCTTCTTTCACACAGATGTTTCTTTTGGGCTTAGTTCAAAAGGAAGGATTTGTTTAGCTTTCCAGATTTGTCCACTAATCTCTGTTTCAGAGGAAAGCTATCCATCCCCTCACAAGGAGAAGGCCACATCTGAGAAAGCCAACTCGGGACAGGAGTGAAGTGCTTCACCTGGATGATTCAGAGCAGCTGCATTGCACTGGAGTAGGCATTTAGTCAATCCCTCTCCTGGGCCAAGAGCTGCTTTTTTTTTTTCGTCCTCTTTGAAGAAATATAATACTGTCAGCAAGCTAATACAACAGCAAAGTCCCAGTGAGGGTTTTGGAAGCAACATGGTTCCTTAACATTTTTCCACAGTCATTTCAAGGAACCATTGTACACAGCCTGGGCCAGTTTAATAGAAGTGTATTGGATACTGCTGATAAATATATAGCAATAATGCTTTTTTGCAGATCTAGTATATTTTATTATGCTAGAGCCAATACATTAACTTCTTGGCATAAGCTGCAATTACTCCAAAGGAGCATTTGCAAGCGTCATGTCAAATTGTGCTCTGAGATGCCTTAGGTTAAAAGTCATCAACACCTTGGGAAAGAAGTTGTCTGAGTCAATAGTGTGAAGCAGAAGATACACATCCACTAAAAACCTTTATGAAATATTTATCAAAAGCTCATTGCTCTGGGTGCCCACTACACACTATTTTGAAATTAAATAACTAATGCTTTTTTCTCCTCTTTAAATATCTGAATATTTTATTCCAAAAGTATATGGTGATGGATTAAAACATACCTAATCAAAATCTTGTCAGCATAGAGGTTTGTTTAATTTAAAGGAGAACACAAACTGCTCAGAAATACCCTCCCTTTTTCTTTGCAAATGTTTCCATCAGAAAAATGCCAATCTAGAAACAAAATGCTGTGCACGTTTATGTGTGAAAGATGAGGGTGATGGAGGTTTGTACCTCTCAAGGAGATGCAGAACAAAATCAGAGCCAGGTCACTGTTTTCAAATGGTTTATTAACCTTGATAAACAGGACTGGGAGAAGCAGCATCACAGATGGAAAATAGTCCCAGGTGCTGTGGTCACAGCACAGACAGGTACTGCCATGTGTGCTCTTGCAGACAGTGGGAAGCCCCCTCCCCTCTGCTTTAAAACAAAACCAAACCAAACCATAACAAACCAAACCAAACAAATTTTCTTTAGTGCACACAAGAGAATGTTTGGCATCTGCTACTGAGCAGCATTCTTGCTGTGTTTCACTATCTATCAAATGGCATGCTCGTCCTCTGCCAAGAAAAATACTTGTTCCCAATACTAATCATGCTCCCTGACTACCCTCTAGTGTATACTCTTCCAGGACTGCTATCCATCCATGCAGCCATTCGAAAGATATTAAAATTATTATGAGGAAATCTGTCACCTATTGTGCTGGCAAGAGCTGGGATATGCTCCAGAGGCAACGCTGCCATTCCCAGAGAGAGGGAATTGTCCAGTGCCCCATTAAAATGAAGAGACATCATTGCAGGGCCTCCACAGGGAGTCACAGGCAGGGCTCTAGTTTAGGGAGAAGATTGTCAAGGTACAAACTCTTGGAGAAATTAAAAATAAATGAATGAAAATAGAAGTCTGTAAATAGATCCCAGAGCCTCTTGTGACTGTAGGCTTAAAAGGGAAAAGGAAAATGTTATTGCAAAATACCTAAAGATGCTTGAAAGGTAGCAGCTGGGAACTCAGTGAGGTTTCTCTCTTCTGCTGTTTATTTGGTGAGATTGACCCACTGTATCCACACAGGCCCCAGCTCCTCAACTGCAACTACTGGATGCATCCCTGGTCAGATCCTTCAGGGAGTTTCTTAGGATTAGATTGGGACTGTTGTCATCAGCCTCAGGAGCTCCTGAAGGTATTAGTAATTTGTTCCTTCACCTGAGAAATTGCCCAGCATTTCTCAAGAAGAAAAGTGCTTGTTTTCTGATCTCTGCCTGCAAGTGAAACGTCCTAACTTGGTCCTGCATAGTTCCAAGAATTAAATCCCTTCCATGAATCTCTAACGATTTGAGATCTGGGCCCATTCCTATCAGAAGGCAGATTGTGTCTGCATCAGGAGGTGCCCTGAGACACCTCTGCACAGTGCCAGAGAGCAGCCAGGAGCATCCTCCCGCAGTGCTGTCCTGTGCTCTGCAGGCCACAGCTAAACCACCATCATTACAGCAAATTCTTCAGATGTTTGTACAGCAGAGGGTGGGATTTGTGTCATTTATCTTTCAACATCTACAAAGTAGATGTCTACCACTGTGCTAATCACTCTGGGTTCCCTTTATAGTCAAGGAAGAGCAATAAGTGCTTTTAAGGTGCAATTTGCCTGGCTCATTATAGACATTTACTTTGGGATGACATGAGTCACACCCAAGGTTCCTACACGTGCAGCCTGTGAGGTTCTCACTGACTGAACCCTCAGCCTGGGGTGACTTAAATGCACATTATATTTACAATATATGTAATACACACATTTGTGTCCCTCTGTTTAATTAGATGAGAGACTCCCACTGCCCGTTACAGACCCAGCTTTGAACACAGGTGATGTAGGCAGTTTCTGCAGAAGTAAAGTAGACTGCAGCAAGCAGTGGATCATCCTCGTTCCATGGGGTAGAAGAAACATCTTTGTTCACAGAAAGATAATTTTTAACAAAATGTACAAGAATCAGTTACAACAGCCACATCTTCCTGTTCCCCATCTCTTTCCTCCATGGAGTTGGAGGAGAAGGAGTCATGAGCATGAAACTTTGGATGAGCCTCTTTTAGAAGAAACTTTACATGCACACAAACATATCCAAATGAGCAACAAAACAGAAATTTCCTCAGGAGCCCAAAATGTTACCTAGAAAAAGTCTGCAATGATTGAATTATTACTATTATTTTTGATTTAAACTGTGCCATGAAGGTTCATAATTTTTAATATAGTGGTGTTATTGAAGTAATGAAAGTTTAAAGATATGAGTAGGGCATGATATATATAGGAGGAAGAAATAGATTTTACTATCTTGATTGATGTATTGGGAAAGCAGACAAGCTTTAGGCATGGGGTCTTTAGGTAAACAGTAACAGGGAGACTGACCTCAAAAGTAAGTTAATGGATAGCACAAACTCCATAGGGATTGGAGACAGTACACATTTCTAGGAGGTATTTGAATGGATGTTTGTCATAGGAAGTTTTTAACAGGGACAGCAAATTGGTGTTGGCTCACATTTGGCTTTTAAAGCAGTGAGGTGAATTAATTTTCCTGTATCTGGAAAATATTTTGCATTTTCAAAGTGCTCGTGTCTGAACTGCAATAAAACCAGAAATTGCAATAAGTTTATGAGTCAATAATGAATAAATGCAATATTTTATTTGAAATCTATGGCATATCTCAGTGCTCTTTTTATTACTGATATTTTCCTACACATAAAATAACATTTAAAAATCAAGCCATTTTGAAGGTAAATGAAAAAATGATGTTAGTGAATCATTAAAGAAAAAAAAATTAGATTTTTCCTGAAAAAAATCAGTTTTAAGAATATCTTTTTCCAAGGAATGAAATAAAGGAACACATTTTCAGCTCTTACATCCACCTGCAGACCCAGCACACACATATATGCCACACACCTGACACTCATCTGTCTTTTTCTGCTGCTCTGGCCCTTGTTTATAATCAGCTCCAAGGTTTTACCTATGGGACATTCTCCCTTTCAGGGCTGCTACAAATCCTTCATTCTCTCCTGACTGTGTTGTCTTGCAATGCTTTCTCCTGTACAACTGTAGACTTTGGTGTCACCAGGTTTTTTATACTGCATGAGCTTCTCCAAAGAACTGGGAAACCTCAACCCTTCCCTCCTATTATTATGGATATCTGTTTTTGTAAAGCCTAGACATTTGCTGCACAAGCTTAGCCCACTGGGAATCAGTGGCTGTAATTATTAGACCTTAGATACGTCAAAAGAATAAATATTATTTTGTGTTAAGGTTGATAATAAACATGCCTCTGTTTTCACATATTGCTCATCACAACTGGTGATAAAATAAGCAGCTGATCTTGACAACCCTTGAATCCTACTGCTCTATCACAAGAAGACCCTGAAGCATTGTACATACATAAAAAGAAAATTAATTGCTAAGAGATTTTTTTCAGTAATTGTGGGCCTGATCCTGAATTCATGACACCTTCCAAAAAAGTTTTCAAAATATTTTAAAAAATTTCTGCAAGATGCATGATGTGACTGACTTTTTCCCAGCTCCCCTTTTTTCCCCTTCACACAAATAATTTTGCTATGAGATTTTACATCTGCCAGAAGCAGCCACTGCTCAAAACAGGAATATTCCTTGAGAGAGGAGATGCAAGGACATTGCAGCCTTTCCTCACACTCCATCTCAGAGGCCATCGAGTCCTAATCTGCCCTGAGCAGAGGTGATAAAAGCTTCCCTGTGCTTTTGCTGGGAGAGGAGTCCAACCAACACCAGGAGTTTTGGGCACTCTTCCATCAGTAGGAGAACTTAGGAAGGTAAAAACCAGAATAATGAAAGCTCCTTTGAGAGAGGTTTAAAATTTCAGCTGTGCTCTCTGGTCTCCATTTGTAGTGATGTTATTAAGACAAGAGCAGGTAGAGTTAAAAAAAAGGATGCTAACAATCACAACAGTTATTTTTAGAATAATCTAAGAAGTCCTGAAGTAGATGAAATAGATACATCCAACATCCACAACAAAGAGCAGTATTCAAACCATTCATAATCAAATACTGTCCCTGTCACACTCTCCTAGACCTTCTCTCCAGTTTGATATATATTTTCACGTGGATCTGAGAAAAATATGTTTTGAAGGATCTGATGAAAGGGAGACTGTTGCACAACTTTGGCTGTTGATATAGTCATAAAATATATATTTATACACAGTTTTATATATACAAAGTGAACCTCACAGCCTACAGTATCTTACTGGAGCTCAGATGTAGTGCATGACACATTATATTTGTGGAAATAGGATCTATAACCTAATGTATTCTTGCATCAAAGAATAATGTCTCATAAATAAATCATTACAGCCTGTCACATCTATGGTTTCACACCATAGTGTATAAAATTATGTACTTTGAGATATAAAAGAATGTTTCAACAACAAAAAAATTATCCTGTGCTAATGCATGTGCTGTCTTGGAGGTGTTATTGCCTTACTACTGTTCACTGTAGACTAATCCATAATATCAGATGAAAGACAGCATTTCTGTTTTCAAAAACTGGTGCAATTGGTGTGCAGCTTTTCTCTTTCAGTAATTAAGAAATCAAATAAGCCTGAGTGAAACTATTTAAGAGGTTCTAGATATAATTAGAACACCTCATTCTCTCATAACTAATTCCTAATTAAAGTAATTTGTCTTTTTGCCCTTCTTTTCAAGGGTGAAGAGCAAGTGGTGATGAATGCTCAAAATCAGGAAAAGTGAAAATTGCAGTGTGTTGATTTGCAGTGATTGAGAATGTTCCAGTTTTTAACAGCCACCTTTGACTGAAATGGTAAATGAACCTCCAGCCTCTGTTTATGGTGCTTATGTGCTATTTGGTGTTCAACTAACAGTAGTATTTGTTATATAAAATAGCTGCCACTATCCAGAAAGTCTGAATGTATAAAAGCTGCCTCTTTTAAAGAATAGCACGTTTCCAGAGGGAGGGAAAGAAGAGATAGAGGGTGCACAGGAGGGTTAAAAACTCTGAATTTTGTTCCATAGCGTAAAAATTGTCCTTTTAAAATTTTACTTGCAGCTGTGCCCAGATGATGATGGATTTATTGTATGAACCAGGGATTAGTAAACAATGTGTACCCTATAAAGAGCAAAACAAGTCCTTGCTCATCACTGCGCTTAATTGCAGTGGTTATATCAAAGCCATATAAAATTTAATCATCAACCACAAGTAAGAATTTGCTTTACATGTGTGCTTGCTTCCCTGTTTTTCCACCTGTTTAAATGAAAGATTCTTGGAATATCACAATATGTAAATATTGTTTATGATGCAAAAATATGCTCTTTCATCTCCTCGCTGCTTTGATGTCGTGATATATAAAGCTTTTAGTGCCACCACCTACCTGACACACAAAGGTCTTATCTGTTTCATAAACATGTGTGCCCAGTGCAAACAGGCTGTATCCAATAGAGGATTTTTCTTTTCCTTGTAATGTTTTTTTAAGAGGCAGAAAGAGAAAGAAATTGTAAATGACAGAATCACTCAGGTGAAAAGAATATTTTAAGCATCAGGTAAAGATAAGCCTATTATGATAGAATAAAAAGATGTAGGTCAAGACTGATCCTGAGAGGTTAGTTATATATATAGGTATCTTGTAAAAATGTGTTTTAAAAGCTTAAACTTTTTTTATAAGCGTTTTGATCCAAGTGGGAAATAAGTAGCAAGATCAGATGACCTCCTAAGAAATACAAATATCTCTAATTAGCAAGAAAAAAAAAGAGAGAGAAATGCAGGAAGTAAGGTCAAAGCTGGAAACAGGACAGATAAAGCTAGGAAGGGCATAAGGTGCAGGCAATATCTAAAATCTGTAGTACATTGTTAGCAATTTTAAAGGAAAAGGTGCTTTTATACAGTATACTGCTAAATATATGGTTTGTCCTATAAATAGCTATTTTTGATCCAGTCTGTCTCTAATAACACACTGGACTGGACCTCAGTCTGTCAGAACTTGCATTCCATGGGGGTCTCCAGATGCAAATGTAACAGAACTTTGGGATAGGGGAGTCTGCTAGCCAGCAAAGGTCCTCAGGGCTCTTTAGGGCAAACCCACTCTCCAGATAACCAGGGATCCTGAAGGATTTCCTTGCCTGATGTGTGGAACTATCAGGATTCATGGCTCTGCACAGCTCCAGCCCTCTGCACTCTCTGAGAGAGCAGAATTTGGCCTTTTAATGTCAAACGAACTGCCACCACTGCAAGAACTTCAAGGTTTAATGTTGCTCCTTTTTTTT